GGCTGTGTGATCTCCACGTAGCCTTGTGGAGGACAGACTGCAGGAGGGGATTGTTTGGGTCAGGAAAGATGATAGGCAGTGCTTTTAGGTTTTGTTTCAGGTCTGTTTGCATGTGGAGACCTCAGGGAAGCGAAATCATCGGAGCTGAGGAATTAGATGCAGCCTCACCGCCTGTCTCGCCCGGGCACTGAGTGCAAGGTGCTCTGTCAGACCGTGCTGGGACGCACAGGCGGAGGAGGCCCGTCCTGCCCCCGGGGGGCTTGCCGTCTGGCAGCACGAGTGTGTGTGCAGGGCTGGCGTCGTGGCATAGCACGTTAAGTCTCTGTGTGGGACACCTGCAACCCAAGTCACAGCGCCAGCTGAGTCCCTGCTGCCCCACCTGCTGTCCAGCTCCCTGCCGATGCTCCTGGGAAAGCCGCGGAAGACGGCTCAAGCACGTGGGCCGCTGCCACCCACGCGGGAGACGCAGATGGAATTCAGGCTCCAGGCCATAGGTGCCATTTAGGGAGCGGACCAGCAGATCAGAGCTGTCTGTCTGTCACACTGCCTTTCAAGGAAGCAAGTCAGTGAATCTTTTAAAAACGTGTAAAAGCTAACTCCGAATGTGATGCCAGTAACATAAGCAGGCACAAACTAATTGTGATTGCAGGAATTGGGCAGGGAACATTTCGTAAAATATTTGGCATTTGAAATGGATCTTTTTAAAATGTTAACATATCTATTTTTCAACTACTTAAAAGGGAGAGGAATCTTCCATTCCCTGGTTCACTCCCAAATGGCTGCAACAGTTATACCTGGACCAGGCTGAAGCCAGGAGCCCAGAACTCCCAGCCAGGTCTCCCACGGGTGTGGGGGCCTCAAGCACTTAAGCCATTGCCTGCTGCCCCCCAGGGTGCATTTGCAAGGAAGCTGGATCAGAAACAGCGAGCGGAACTCCAACTCCAGTATGTAAATGCAGCTTAACCCGCTACACCACAGTGCCCACTCCTGCACCAGATCCTAAACAGGAAAAGGATAGAGCATTCTAGAAGCACAGTAGGTAAGATGAAAAAGTGTAACCCTGCTTAGCGGGAGCACACTGCTCCGCAGAGCAAGAGCCTTTGTGCTTGGAGGAGGGATGATATGGGCTCCAGTCCCGAACATTTCTTTCTTTTTTTTTTTTAATTTAATTTAATTTAATTTTTTATTTGACAGATAGAGTTAGTGAGAAAGAGAGAGAGAGACAGAGAGAAAGGTCTTCCTTCCGTTGGTTCACCCCCAAATGGCTGCTACGGCCGGAGCACTGCGCCGATCCAAAGCCAGGAGCCAGGTGCTTCCTCCTGGTCTCCCATGTGGGTGCAGGGCCCAAGCACTTGGGCCATCCTCCATTGTACTCCCGGGCTACAGCGGAGAGCTGAACTGGAAGAGGAGCAACCAGGACAGAACCCGGTGCCCATATGGGATGCCGGTGCGTCAGGTGGAGGATTAACCAAGTGAGCCATGGCACCGGCCCCCCAAACATTTCTTTAGGCCTTGGCCAGTTATTGAGCAAGAAGGTGCCACATGCAGACGCTGGCTGCCTGGGTGTGGGTGGATTGGGAGGGAAAGAGGGAATCAGTTCCATAGCTGCTGTACTGGGGCGGGCTGGAGAGCGAGGCAGTGGACGTGAGGCCAGGAGCAGCTGTGCAGGAGAGCGCCCTTTTCCACAGAGCAGGCGGGGCCGTGACGAGCCCTGGGAAGCCTGAGAGCCACTGGTGACCCCGGCCGCAGGACTGGGAATGAGGCAGGGCCGGGGAGGTGCACCGCCTGATGCCTCTGGCAGGTGTGGCTGGCGCTCCCCACTCCCCGCGGCCAGAATGAGGATGTCGTTTTGCCAGGAGGCCGCTGCAGGTTGCAGCTGGGCAGGGCAGGGGATGCGTGTGTGGGGCTGCAGAGGTGAGCCTGCGGCTGTGACGGTCGCCTCCTCTGCAGTGAGGCAAGGGCACTTGCGCTGTCATGGTGGGCCCAGCGAGTGAGCAGAGAAGCACCACGGAAGCCGGTGCCACGCTGTCTCTCCGGGGTCACGTCGCCCAAGAGCACAGTGTTTTCAGTGCCTCTGAAGTGCCCCTCCTGTCTGGGAGGAGCTGGTGAGGGGTACTTGGCGTCGTGCCTCGGGGAGGGCGTGGTTTCCACAGGGACCTGCGCTCTGGGTTTAGGGTTTTAATTTGCCTCCAGACATCTGAAAATGATACTTCTTTTTAAATTAAAATTGAAAATATATGTTTTTATTTGAAAGAGACACAGAGAGACAGAGACCTCCCATCTGCCGGTTCACTCCCCAAATGCCCACAGCAGCCTGTTGCTGGTGCAGGCTGAAGCCAGGAGCTGGAACTCCGTCCTGGTGTCCCACATGGGTAACAGGGGCCCAGGCACTTGAACCGTCACCGGTGCTGCCTCACAGAGCACACATGGGCAGGAGGAAGCTGGATTGGAAGCAGAGGGGCTTGGACTGGAGCCGGGCGCTCCGACGTGGGGTGTGGGCTCCCCAGGAGCTGCTTGAGCTGCAAATGCCCACCCGTCCACCCTGAAAACACCGATTCTTCTAGCGAGAGCTCGGGGAGCCCCGCTGTGTGGGCATCAGGCGTGGCTGTGGTGCACTGGCCGGTGGGGGAGGGGGTTTATGGGGGTGGACATTTAGCGCAGCTGTTACGTCCCATGTGGGATCCCCGTATCCCAGAGCCGGGGCTCAGTCCTGGTTTCATCCCCCTTCCAACCCTGGGAGGCAGCAGGTGATGGCTCCTTCTGCTTTCGGGAGACTCTGGGTGTGGCCTGTCCAGCCCCGCCGTGGTGGGCTTGAGGAGAGTGAACCCGTGGATGAGCGTGCTCTCTTGGCGCTCTGTCCTTCTCCCTCTCCCTCGCCTTGCAAACAAGTAGCATAAATGAAAATTGATGAGATAGACTGGTCCTCGTCGTGGTTCCTGTCACAGAGCTCCTAAACCTCCAGGCCGTCGTGGAGTCATGGAAGCCTGGCGCCTGAGTCTGAGCTGACGAGGTATCCTGGGAGGGGCCCTGGTCATGCAGAGACCAAGTGGTCAGAGGGTTGGAACTGTGGCCCCCCCCGCTGGCCCCTGGGCGGGGCAGCTGGAAAGGAAACCATCTGGTGCCGTGAACACTCCGGGACAGGACTTGACGAGCTTCCCCGGTCCTGGTTCCGGGCCCCCGCCCCCACCCTTCTCTCTGCATCTCTTCTTGATCTGTGCCCTTTGTAATACACTGTAGGTGAAAGTAAAACATCTCCTTGGGTTCTGTGAGTTGCTCTAGAAAATTGATGGCACCTGGGGCGGGGGACCCCCCATTTCTAGCACAGGTCATGAGCTGGGGGCTTGTGACTGGCATCTGAAGACCCCACTAACCTGTGGGGTCTTGACGCTGTCTGCAGGTAGGCGGTGTCGGGTAGGTTGAGTTGCGGGGCTGCCAGGCGGAGCCTCAAAAGGTTTGCTTGGTGTGGGGGAGACCCCTTCTTGTCCCCTCCCCACACACACATCTGGTGCCAGTGTGTTCCCAGGGCCCTGCCCTTCCTCAGCAGGTGGCTCTCGGGGACAGCTGTGCTTCCCAGCCTGCCCCTCTGCACCGCTACCCTTGGGCCTCTGGACGATTGTTTTCTGAACACTAGCATTTTCTCAAGTTCTGCGGTTTCAGCAGCAGAAGGCCAAGGGGGTGTTTACTCCTCAGCAGGTAGTAGGGCCAAGAGGTGCAGAACCTCAGTGAACAGATACCTTTCCAGTCAGCCCCCAGCTGTCGTAGGTTTGCACAAGGAGAGCGGTTTTTTGATTCTGAATACTTTAGATACCGACACAGAGTTCTGGTCGAAACTGAAGATGTTGCAAGCTCTGTTGCCCTGTTTCACCTATTCCCTGGTCCCAGGAAGCCACACCTTCTTCCATTTTAGGAATTATAGCAGCATTTTCTTCTAGAAAACATCATCCTTGAATAGAACCAAAAAGCCTCCATGGCCAAATATGTGAACTAGAAAATGAGTTAATGATTTCCTTGCCGTGGCCCTTCGTTCCTGTGGATGGGTCTGGAGGCCACCTCTTGTCCTGCACAGTCCCCAGGTGAGGGCCGACGCCCTGCTTGTGGCCTGGCTGGAGCAGCAGAGCGTCTTGCTGGCGTCCGAGGCTCCGCCTGCGTCACCACGGGCTGTGGGCCGGCTGCGTGGCGCCGCGTCTTTCCCAGCCTGCAGAGAGCTTTTCTCTGCGGACCTGGCTGCCCTGGGCAGCGGGGCGGGAGCGCCTGTGCAGGTGGAGACCCCGCCTCTGGCTGTCTTCTGGCATCCATACACTGGGCATCCACGAGCATACTGAGGGGCCTCCGTTCCCAGTGTGTCTCCTGCTGGGCCCCTTGACCTTCGTGACCCCGTGGTGTGGGGCGCTGAGCTGGCCTCAGTCCTGTTCTAACACAGTGAAACCAGGATTCAGAGCTGGAATGAGATGCCCAAGGAGCACAGCTAGTGCCTGTTCACCTCGGGAACGGAACTAGACTGAAGTCTGCCAGTCGTGTCCTTCCCCTCCTAAACACTGCTGAGACGCTCTCGGCCTCTCTGCATTCACTTGTGGGCGTCTCCTGTTAGAGGACTGCCCCTGTTGGTGGGCGTCTCCTGTTAGACCATTGCCCCTGTTGGTGGGTGTCTCCTGTTAGACGACTGCCCCTGTTGGTGGGCATCCAAGCGTTTGTGTCGCTGAAGTCCTTTCTCTTTGAGAACTGCGGAGGTGTCGCTGTCCGGGGACAGTGGGGTGGCGGGCAGGGTTTGAAGTGTGTTGGGTTTGCTCTCGTGAGCAGTGCTGTGTGACGGGGAAGAAGGGGCGTGGGAGGCGCACGGAGTATCAGCCCAGAGACGGGCTTGGTGCGGCAGCTCATGCCTGGCACTGCTGCAGAGGAGGGCTGTCTTCCCGGCTCGGCTTCCACAGAAGGGAACTGTGGAACGAGGTGTTTGCTCACTGCAGGGGATCTCACTCTTTGCCTTGTGTTCTGCCCCTCCCCAGTGGGCCACCTTGAGGATGGAGCGAGGAGCCAAAGAGAAGAACCACCAGTTGTACAAGCCCTACACCAACGGTAAGGCGGCCCCCACCCTTGGCCTGGAGGGCGCCTTTGGAGCACACGCCCTGAGCGGGGTCCATTAGAGAGAGCTCACGGTGCCGGTGGCTGGGAGGTCCAGACAGCACGGTGCTGGCTCCAGTGAGGGCCCCCGGCTGTGTCACAGCATGGCAAGGGAGGGAGCAGGAGAGCAGGTCGGAACGCTGCTTTGCAGGAATCATCGCAAAGGACCCCACGTCGCTGGAGGAGGAGATCAAGGAGATCCGGCGGAGCGGCAGCAGCAAGGCCCTGGACAACACGCCCGAGTTTGAGCTCTCGGACATTTTCTACTTCTGCCGCAAGGGGATGGAGACCATCATGGACGACGAGGTGACGAAGCGGTTCTCGGCGGAGGAGCTGGAGTCCTGGAACCTGCTGAGCAGGACCAACTACAACTTCCAGTACATCAGCCTGCGGCTCACCGTGCTCTGGGGGCTCGGCGTGCTCGTCCGCTACTGCTTCCTCCTCCCGCTCAGGTGAGGCGGGGCCTCTTCCTGGGGCTGCCCTGTGGGAGGAGAGAGGGTACCGTGTGGCTCCCCTGCAGGCCCTCAGCCTCTGCTCGCCTGCCTGGAGTGAACCCCAGGGCGGGGCGGGAACACAGTGCGCTTCTGGCTACTCCTCCCCGGGCCTGGCCCACGCCTTCCCAACTCCAGCCTCTGCTTCCTCTGTGCCTCGTGCCATTCTGGGTAGGCTGTCCAGACGCCGGGTCCCTCGAGCTCCACCTCCCGGTGCTTCCCAGAGCGGGTACGCGGGCGCCGGAGGGCGGAACGGCCAGTCTCAGGGCTTTCCGTCCCCCCTACCCACTGCGGCCTGCAGCTGTGGAGACAGCGTCCGCTGAGTGCTGCAGAGGCCACTGTCACCGTCAGTGTGGAGTCACGGCTGTGTGTGCCCCCGCCAGGCCCGCTCACCTTTCCAGATGGAGCCGGCTCTGGCGCTTAGGGGTTCAGACCCAGGACTGCTTCTCAGGATGTCGACTTCGCTGTTGTGGGTTTTTTTAAAGATTGATTTTATGTATATGAAAGGCAGTGTTAGAGACAGAGAGGTCTTCCATCCATGGTTCACTGGCCAAATGGCTGCAACACCAGTGCTGGGTCAGGCCAAAGCCAGGAACCAGAAACTCCTGGGTCTCCCTTGCGAGTGTAGGGGCCCACGCCCTTGGGCCATCCTCTGTGCTTCCCTAGGCATATTAGCAGGGAGCTGGATCGGAAGTGAAGCAGCCTGGACTCGAACCGGCGCCCATATGGGATGCAGGCGTTGTAGGCAGTGGCTTTGCATGTTGAGCCATGACAACGGCCCCCAACTTCGGTGTGTACACAGTGAGTCCTAAACTTGGTGCGAGGGTTTGTTTCCTGATTTCACTTTTGTCTTCTTACAGGGTCGCTCTTGCTTTCACCGGGATTGGCCTTCTGGTGGTTGGCACGACTCTCGTGGGATACCTGCCAAACGGGCGGTGAGTGTAGTGCACGCTGCCACGGCCAAGGGCGCTGTCTGGGCGTGGCGGCTCGGGCGGAAGGCCAGGCCACAGAACCCAGTGGTAACGCCGCTGGCGGCGCCAGTCTTCACCTGCTACTCCTCGTGGCCCTGTGCACAGTGTTGCGCTGGGTGCCCACTGCCCGCCAGCCCCACGCTTCCCTAAGACAGGAACGCAGGTGGCGGTGGGTGCTGGAGCGCGTGGCGTGGGTTTGAGCGTTCCCTTGTGCAGATAGGTCGGACTTGAAAAGCAGACCTGAGACGCAGGTAGTTTCACCTGGGCAGCTCCTTGTGCGGCTGGCGGGGCCGCGGGGCCTCGTGGCCTCGTGGCAGGGTGCAGGAGGAGCGGGGCCCTGCAGGGTGTGAGTTGCCCGCCATTGGTGCGGGAGCGCGTGGTTGCCCTGTGTCCTCCTGTGTCAGCCTGAAGTCCCGGAAGCCGCGTGTGCTGGTGCCGTGGGAAGGCGCTCTGCGGGAAAGCGCTGGAGCCAGCGTCTACCCTGAGCCTCCCTGTGACAAGCCCAGAGCCCGTGTCCCGTCCTTGCAGGCTCAAGGAGTTCCTGAGTAAGCACGTGCACCTGATGTGCTACCGGATCTGCGTGCGCGCCCTCACGGCCATCATCACCTACCACGACAGGTGAGGCCCGCCCGTGGGAGCTCTCCGCGCCGCGGTGAGGGCTGGCGCTGCGCTGAGGCGTGGCCAAGCTCCACGTGAGTCATTTCACGTGAGTCCTGTTACCTTGTGTGTTTAACCCAGGAAGAACAGACCAAGAAACGGCGGCATCTGTGTGGCCAATCACACGTCTCCTATCGATGTGATCATTTTGGCCAGTGATGGCTACTACGCCATGGTAAGGCTTTGGTGCCCGGCGGCTCGGGGGTCCCGGCGGAGCTGGGCTCATACACACACACGCGTGCTGGGGCTCCCAGGCACGTGGATAGAGGGGCTGGCGACTGTGCCTTGGCTGTTCTGGGCGGGGGTGGGGGTGGGGCGTTTCAGCTTCGCGGTTTTGCTTTCAGAGTGTTTGGCTGTTTTTAGCCGCACGTCCCTGGTGTTGACTGATAAGAGGAGAAAAGTCAGGTTCGGGGTGTGTTAGGCGTGGTTGCTCGACAGTGAGGAGGCTGTAGGTAGCAGGAAGGTGGGAGGGTGGGGACCTGTCTGAGGACACGCGTTGCTGACACTTCCTCTGGCCGCGGCAGGTGGGCCAGGTACACGGCGGCCTCATGGGCGTCATTCAGAGAGCCATGGTGAAGGCCTGCCCGCACGTCTGGTTTGAGCGCTCCGAAGTCAAAGACCGCCACCTGGTGGCCAAGAGGTGAGTGGGCGGACGGCTGGTCCCGGGTTACAGTGGGGGAGATCTAGGTGCCGGGAAGGTTACTCCTCCACGGCAGAGCTGCAGTGTCCCGGCTCCTTAGCAGATGCGGAACGTAAAGCCTCGGTGGCATGCACCCTGTTAGGAACCTTCTCCATTCAACAGAATGGGAATAGCCCTAAGGCAGTGGACGGTGCAGAGTCCCGCCCTGTTTTCAGGCTCTGAGTGAAGGGGTCTGGTGTGTGAGGCAGAGGCTGGGTGGGCGGAGGGGCCGCAGGCGCTGAGACCCCCGCTGCGGGGACAGACTGCCTGTCCCGCGGGCCCTCTCTGCTTGTAGGGTGGAGCGCTGGGCCGGTGCTGCCTGTGCCAGGGCCCGGGAGATGCGCAAGGAGCAGCAGGTGCTTTGGCGGGGAGTCCACACGTGCCCAGGGCCTCGGCGGCCTCACAGCCTGGCGAGTGGGTGGTGGGTGGGCGCGGAGCGCGCCAGCACCATGGGCCTTGCAGGTCCACAGCCCGCTCTTGTCACTCGTGCTGTGCTCCCCTGCACCCTTGCTGGCTCGCTCTTTTTTTTTTTTTTTTTTTTTTTTAACAGTTTTATTTATTCTTTGGGTAGAGAGACAGAGATAGACAGATCTTCCATTCTGCTGGTTTAATGTCTGCACCAGCCAGTGCTGGACCAGGCTGAGGCCGGGAGCTGAGACCTCCATGAGTCTCCCAGCCTGGGGCTGGGGCCCAAGGCCTCGAGCCGTCCCTGCTGCCTCCCAAGGTGCACTTCCGAGGACGCTGGAGTCAGGAGCTGGAGCCGGGGTTGAACCCAGGCAGTCCCACGTGGGGTGCCGGTGTCCCGAGCAGCGCCGCAGCTGCCGTGCCAACACCTGCCCTGTGTCATCTGACGGTCCCCGCCCTTACAGGCCCACTGCTCATGGGCTTCAGCTTGTGGAGCTGCAAGGACAGGGCCGTGTATAAACAGGTTATTTGTAAACGCGTTTGTTTCCTGTCTCCTCTCCAGGCTGACTGAACACGTGCAGGATAAAAGCAAGCTGCCTATCCTCATTTTCCCGGAAGGTGAGACGGTGTGAACCCCCCACCCCCAGCACGGCACCCCCCTGGCCCCCCCTGCGGGGGAGGGCGAGTCGCACAGCCCTTGTTCTGGGTCGGGTGCAGACCCGTCCTGCCTGGGGAGTCGTCAGGACCCCGGCTCCTGGCTGCTCCTGAAACCCAGAGAGCCGGCACCACCCTGTCTGCCCGCCTCTCAGGGACCTGCATCAACAACACGTCGGTGATGATGTTCAAGAAGGGCAGCTTTGAGGTCGGAGCCACCGTCTACCCTGTCGCCATCAAGGTAGGAGGGCGCGGGGGAGGCTCCTGTTTCTGGCCGGTCCCTGCCCGCGCCCCGCTGCCTGCCCCGAGCTCCGTCCCCTGGCTGCTCCTCCAGGTGTCCGAGGCCCTCGTCGGGAACCCCGGGCAGTGGAGGTCGCTCGCGCGTTCCCTCTGTCCGAGCACCAGCGCACCGTGAGGGTGTCGGGAGGGTCGAGAAGGAGCAGAGCCTCGGCCTCAGCCCGGCGCCCGGCTCGTGGGTGCGAGCTCTCGGCCCTGCTGCCCTGCCGCGTCCGCCGGCACTTTCCCGGTGCCGCCCGGGAGCCTGGCCGAAGGCTCACTGCCCCGGTTGTTTGGTTGCCGGGGTAAACTCACTGAGCTGTCTGCAGCTCCTCTCCCAAACCGCGACCTTCTCCTTTCCCAGGTGTCTACCAGTGTACTTTGAGACACCGGAGACGGGGCCTAGAAAACCATGTGGTTCAAAGCCAGCCTGCCTCGTGGTGGGGCGGGGCGCCCAGGCCTGGCTGGCCGGGCCCTTCCCGGCCTGTGGGAGGACTCCTCACGTTCTCTCTCATGTGGTTGCCCGCTGGAAGGCCCAGCTGTTTATCTACTGATTGTGAAATTTTAATTTATTTTGAGAGACAGAGAGCTTCCGTCTGCTGGCTCGCTCGCCCAAATGCCCACAGCGCCAGGGCTGGGCCAGGCTGGAGCCCGGAGCCCCGAGTGCCGCCCGGATCTGGGCTGGGCTGGAGAGGTCTTCAGGCCTGTGTGTGGGTGTGAGAGGAGGCTGGGATGGAGCAGGTGTGGGTGTGGTGGAGCCCGGGTGCGGCTCTCCCTGGCTCTGGCTGTTTGGAAACGTTATATAATCTCCGCCCGCACCTGAGTCAGCGCGAAGCCGAGGAGGCGAGAGGCGTCTGTCCGCGGAGGGCCGTCGGGAGCCTCCCCGGCAGCTGCAGCACAGGCTCGCCCAGCCAGAGCCGCTGGCCGCAGAGCTGTCCCGGGGGGTCTGCCCGAGGGGCCACCGGTTCCCTCCCTAGGCACCCCGGTCACCCGGGGCCTGCGTGGGGGCCGAGGCCGGAGTGGGTGGGTCCGTGCGTTCCCACGCTGGCGCTCACGCCCGCTCTCCGGCGCCTTGCAGTACGACCCTCAGTTCGGGGATGCCTTCTGGAACAGCAGCAAGTACGGGATGGTGACCTACCTGCTCAGGATGATGACCAGCTGGGCCATCGTGTGCAGCGTGTGGTACCTGCCGCCCATGACCCGGGAGGTGCGCCATGCCCCGCGCCGCCCTGCACGCTCCACCCCGCCCCGCCCCGCCCCACTCCGCCCCGAGCCTGCGCTCAATCGCCCCCACCCGCCTCCCCACAGGCAGACGAGGATGCCGTCCAGTTTGCGAACAGGGTGAAGTCCGCCATTGCCCGGCAGGGAGGCCTTGTGGACCTGCTGTGGTGAGTGCGCCATGGGCCTGGGGACCGCGGGTTCCCCGGGCAGGCCTCCGGCGCCAGCCCAGCCCGCACCCCTGCGGGGGCGCCTCTCGGGACACAGGCTCCTTCTGGTCTGGTCGTTGGCCCTAACACTGCTCTGATGGCGCCGGGGCCGCAGGTGCCCGGGCCTTGTCCCGTCAGCCACAGGAGGTGGCGGGGAAGGAGGCTGGGCCCAGGAAGCGCCAGGCGCGGGGTGCAGCCCGCAGGAGACTCAGACTCGGATCCCGTGGCTTCCGGGCTCGGGAGTGGGCCTGCTGCTCCCCGCTGCGTCTCGCGGACGTTGCCTGCAGCGCGAGTTTTCCGCCGGTGCCGGGGTGGGCCGCGAAGGCGCAGGCCCGCGGCGAGGGTTCATGTGCCAAGCCCGGGGCTCTGGGTCCATCCCGCGCGGGAGATGAGCACGTGCGCCTCGCCTGCTCACTCGTGGGTTTCTGAAATGTGCTTTCATCTGCCTGAAGGGCAGAGCAGGGGGGGTTCCCTCCCCAGGGCTGAGCCAGGCCAGAGCCGGAAGCTCCTCCTGGCTCCCGCTTGGGCCCCCTCCCGCCGTGTCCGTGTTCTCCGCGCTGAGGCCGAGGGGGCTCCGCGGGCGCTGCCAGGGCGCCGGTGCACCTGCCCGCCGTGTCCGTGTTCTCCGCGGCGCCCCGGCGGCTCTGACGGCAGCCCCCCTCCCTGTGCAGGGACGGCGGCCTGAAGAGGGAGAAGGTGAAGGACACCTTCAAGGAGGAGCAGCAGAAGCTGTACAGCAAGATGATCGTGGGCAACCAGGAGGACAGGAGCCGCTCCTGAGAGCCGCCGCCCCGGCTGCCCTGCGCACGCCTGACCACCAGTGCCGGGACAAATGCCATTAAAGTCAGCTCTCCACCTGCGCGTGTGGTGCGGCCGCGCCGGCGGGGGCGGGGCTGGGGCCGCCATCAGAACACTGGGGGCCGCACGGGCTCTCGGCCCTGTGCCGCTGCCGGCGGATGGGAGGATGCTGGCGGATGGCAGGACCGCGGGCCGGAGCCACGCGTGCTCAGACTGCAGGCCCACCTGGGCTGCCCGTGTGACCTGCCTCTGGTCAGTGTGCCTCGGTTTCCCCGCCTGCGCGCAGGCCCAGAGGGGGAGGGCGGTGATACCTACCTCACAGGGTTGTTGTGGGGAAGCTGGCCTGGCCGTGTGGGGGGCAGGTCTGTGGGGCGTGGGGGCGCGCTGAGGCCGGGTGCCGCGGGGGCCTGCAGATCTGTTTATCGGTCAATAAAGTCGGATGGCGAACGAACCGAGGGCCTTTGCATGGTCTCTGCCGTGCTCCGGTCGGGCGCGCTGCTCTGCGCTGTGGGAGCCCCTGGGTGACGGCAGGAGCCGCCCGCTGCGAGCACCCACCGTGGGGGGGAGGGGGCCGCGAGAGCAAGGCGGGGGTGGCGTGGGCTGCACGGGCCTCTGCTCCCTCTGCGGTCGCTGACACTCCCATCACTTCCGGCTTCTGGGGGCCACCTGCTTCTGAGCCCAGCCCTAGATGACCCGCACACGCCCCACCAGTCCCCTCACGCCTGCAGGTCGCCCCCGGGGCCTGCCCTGCGAGGAGCCCGCCCCTCCGCGGAGAGCTGGGGTAAAGTGACTCTGGTCTAGCCTAGGGGGTGGCGGTCTGGTGTTCGGGTGCTGACTGCAGTGTGATCCTAAAAATCAGGGGCGGGGGCCCCGGGCCCTCCCGCAAAGCTGCTCCCATGCCCTGGTGGACCGCTTTGAGTTGGTCCTATGCAGAGACCCCTGGCACTTGGAGCCACACCACGTGCCCGCTCTTGAGCTGCCAGCAGGGGGTGCTGGTGGGCCTGGAGCCGCAGCAGGTGGCATCGTGGCACTTCCACACCCCCGCGCCTGCTTCCTGATTCGTAAATAAGAACGTGGGCTCAGTGAGAAGGCCCCTCCCACCTCTGAAATGCCTCATTTTCATTCTGGCTTAAACTTTATCTGAGGGGCCGGTGCTGTAGTGCAGTAGGTTAAGCCACCCCTGCAGCCCCGGCATCCCACACGGGTGGCGGTTCAAGTCCCGGCAGCTCCACTTCCGATCTGGCTCTCTGCTATGGCCTGGGAAAGCAGTGGAAGACGGCCCCGCTGTCACTCAGGTAGACTTGGAAGAAGCTCCTGGCTCCTGGCTTTGGCCTGGCCCAGCTCCAGCCGTTGTGGCCATCTGGGGAGTGAACCAGCGGATGGAAGACCTCTGTCTCTCCCTCTCTCTTTAACTCTTGCCTTTCCAATAAGTAAATAAATCTTCAGTATTTTTTTCTATGTGAGGTAGAGCTCCCCTCTGGTGGTTCGTTGCCATTGGCAGCTGAGGCTGGGCCAGGGCTGAAGTGGGGGTGGGGGCCGCAGAAACTCAACCCGGGTCTCCCACGTGGGTGACAGATTTCAGCACATCAGCCCACCAGGGTTCGCCTCGGAGCCCCAGCCGGGTGTTGAATCCAGGCACCCAGGTGTGGACTGGGGTGGCTGAGTGCTGGGTTAACCACTAGGCCACACATCCACCCTGGCGATTCTGTCATCCCCAGAACCGTCGGTTTGAATCCACGGCTTCTGTGAGTCGTCGGGGCTGGTAGAACGAGCCCGGGAGGTGTCGCCTTGGGTGCAGGTCCCTGTTGGAGCTTGTACAGACCAGCCCGTTAGAGAAGGAGCTTCTGTTAGGGCTTGGGAAGGTTCCCATCCGCCCGCCTCCACTGCCTGCACGGGTTAAAAAGGCCTTGTGCCCGGCGGGTGGGGGGAGGGGAGTATGCCACAGTGTAGCCCTAGTGACCAGGTCCTTGGGGCACCTGCTGCGCACCGTGGTGGGCCTGGCCGTCCGCACCTGCGCTGTCCCTTGGCACGTGGGGAGCTTGGCTTGTGTGCCTGGGAGGTCCCGGCTGGAGGGGCAGCTTGCACGCACACCGACTGCCGGCCGGGGGAAGAGACCACGGAGCAGCCATCCGTCTTCCATTGCACGAGCAGCCCGGCTCCCCTCCCCCCTCCCCCACCCAGTCAATAACATCTCTCTCCGATGGGAAAGTTAATAAATTTTGCTCTAGATTAAAAGTATTGATCATTTCATTTGTAAACGATAAATAAAGAGGAGGGGGCTTTTCCCTGCAGCGGGGGCCGGCGCTGGTGAGCTTGCTGGGTGAGCTCGCGCCGGCCGCCGGCCAGGGGTGGGCTACTCATATGCATCCTCGCCCACCAGCCGCATCGATTTCCTATTAGTCTCTCAGCACCACCCAGCACCACATCATCTCGGGAGCCGCTATTAATGGTCTTTTGATAAATAATCACTTGTAAGTCAATAAATTTTTATTAAACAGCGTGGCTCTTTGATTTATTAAAATCCGACCGTGTTTGTCTGGGAGAAAAGGGATGCCGAATTGAAGCCGGGCTTTCCATACATCTTCCTGACGCCGGCCGGCACCGCACGCTGCCTGCCCGTGGAGGGGGGATAAACAATTGTGTTTTAACAGAAACAAAAACAGCCGACTTGGGGAAGTTTGTCTCTGTCAGCACCCTCCTCCCCTCCCCGGGGTTCCTCGGCATGGGGCGCTGTGGCGGGGACCTGCAGGTGTACAGCCCAGAGCCCTCTGCGTGCCGGCACCCCGGGGACCTGTCAGCCGGCCTTCCTGGCCAAGCAGCCTCTGCCCTAGGGATGCTTGGTTGTAACCAGCGCAGCCAGTGGCTGAAGGCCTGGCCGCGTCCTGATGAAAGATTTGCTCTGAAGAGCTTGACAGCCTTACCCCTGGGACTCACGCGGCCCCGCACGGGTGCTCTGATGTGGAGCAGCCTGGCCACGGAACCCAGACCGGGAATTCCCAGCCCAGGACACTGTCGGGGGACGGGGGTTCATCCCACAGCACCTGCTGGCCCTGGGTGGGGGTGGGGGCACTGGAGAGGCGCCATCTGGACCCCTTTGTGTTCCCCTGGGGGGAATTTTGAGTCAAATCCCTTGCCCCCAAATCCCTTGCAGGAGCGGGGACTGGGGCGTGGCGTGAGGGTGGCGTAGGAGTCAGAAGGGGCGCCGGGGCCTTCATTCGTGGGACAGGAAGCTTCCAGAACAGAGGAGCTGGGGTCCAGGACAGCTGTTACCCCCCTGCACGTGGGACAGCACCCTGCACGCTCAGCCTGGGGCGGCAGCTGTCCCCACCCTCCTACCCGACCCCAGCCCTCTGCCCACCTACCCAACTACACTGCGGGCCCGGCTCCCTCTCGCCTACCCCGGGACAGACCTGGCTCCTCCCTGGCCACCGGGTCGGTGCTCAGCCCCGCGGCAGGGCCGCCCCGCGCTCCGCGCTCCGATTGATCCGCAGCCGCGATTTGTCATCGGCCCGCGTCGGGCGCTGATTTCTCCCGCTGCACGAGGCCCCTTCGACACCTGCTTTATTTTTCTTCCTGCGCTGACGTGACGGGAGACAGGTGTTAAACTACTTAATCACTTTAAAATTGTTTTAATTTTCTGTTTTTTATTGATCTCCGCAGCACCAATTAATCAGCTCACTGGACCAGGCAGTTAGTACATTAAAAATTGTCAAAGAGGCTGTGCATCTTGCAAAATGTCTAAAAAATATTCAGCTAGCAAATTTCGTTTCTCGTGGAACCCTCCTCTGCCCGCTGCGCGCGCGCGCGGGGTTGAAAAGGGGGGGCTCCTGCTTCTAGAATGTGCAGGTGCCTCGCAGCAGGAGTTGTGGCCAGGGGTCGGGGCGGGGGGGGGGGTCCAGGGACACCCTTCCCTTCCACTTTGGGTCTCTGCTCCTCTCCCTGTCCCAGAGGGCCTTGGGAATTTTGTGGGAATTCCCAGCTTGCTCTGCACCTCGCATCTGAGCCCCGTGCCCAGGCTCAAGCCAGCCTTGAGCCACACGCAGCCAGACACTGCCACGGCCAGTGTGATGTTCCCCCTGCCCCCCCCCGCCACCCCGGGGAGGGACTGAACTTAGACGGCCCCCAGCCTAATCCTTGCACCCCAGCCTACAGCTCAGTCTCCCCCACGGAGCATTCTGGACGGCCCCTCCCACCGCCTCACCCGCCTGTCCCTTGTCTCCTGTGCCCCCTGGAAAAGCAGCCAGGAGTTGCTTGGAATCCGACAGGGACAGAGCGGCCAGGGGCTCGGGGTGGGGGTGGCTCCCGCAGAGAGAGCCCCTGACTGTTTTCTGAGGGGGATTAACTGCCAAGCAGCCCCCCCACCCCCCCAAATGCCGCCACCTTCCCTGCTTCCGTCCACACCCACTGCCAGCCCGCCTCCCCCAGGCCCCAGGGACCCCAGCCCCTCCCAGGAAGGCGGGCTGCAGCGGGCGGGGCCGTGGAGGGGCGGGGCCGCCCCGACTTATCTCGGGCCCCACCCGCGGCGTATTAATCGGGATATGATTGGGCCAGGATGCATAATCTGGTATCGATTTTTCCTCCCGACGCCTCAGCTCTGTTTGCTCACATCTGCCTGGTGTTTAATTGGCGCTTTGCTCTGGAAAGCAGGTCTTATCGGGCCTGTTTGGTTTCTTTTCCTGGGGCACACGGGCATGCACACGCCCCAACACGCTGGCCGCCGGCCCCGCCCCAGTGCTCCCTGCCCCCCACTCCCTCCACCTGCGCTCCCAGGGCCTGGGAGCCAAGACTGCTGACCCAGAAGGGCTTTCTCCACACTGGACCCCTTTCTGGGGGCATGTGTGTGTATTTATTTCTATGTGTGTATATGTTGTGTGTGTGTATGTGTGTATGGGTGTATATATGTGTATAGATGTATATATGTGATGTGTGTATGTGTGCATGCATATGTGTGCATGTGTGTGAATATGTGTATGAATGTGAATGTGCACACAACATATATTTGTGCATACATGCCTATGTGTGCGTTGTATGTATATACGTGTATGTATATACATGTATGGGCATATATTGCATATGTGCATATGTGTATCTGTGCGTGCATGCATGTACATTGTGTGTGATATGAGTGCACATGTCTGCATGTATGAGTGTGTACACATATGCATTTACTATGCATATGCATGCATGTGTACATGTGTGTGTGTGCGTGCATGTGTGTGTGTGATCACTGGGGAAGCCCAGGCCCGAGTTCAGGTCCTCCTCCTCCCTGTGTGGCCTGGACGCCGGCCTGCTGGGTGCTGTGTCTTCCTCACCTGAGAGGAGGTTGCACGGCCTGCGTGTGAGCCGCTTAGGGATTGTGTGCGGGTCCACACACAGTGCGGCGCTTGGTGGTGCTTGGGCAGCCTGAGGGATGTGGTGTGCCCAGAGTGTGCCCCTGGGTGTGAATGCACATGCACCCCCCAGTGCCCCCCCAGGGCCTCCGTCCCCTCCACAGCCCGCAGCCCCTGCCTTCCAGGTCCCCGCCCCTGGCTTTTTGTCCTCGGTGGGGCGAGGGCGAGCCAGAGGTAAACACTGATTTCCTATTGACACACATTAATTCTGGGGCTTGGACAGCTGAATGTGCGTCCACTCACTTTGCACGATTGATGGTGTTTGTTTGCGGCCCGGAGAGGCCTAATGAGGGACTTGAGGGGCCCCAAGCCCTCGGGGTGCCCCTTCCCACCGCCCTTGCTGCTCCCAGCCCGGCGCCAGGGGAGATGGGGCGAGAGAGCCTGCTACAGCAATGGGGGGGAGATCCCTGTGGCCAGAGACGCCCCCCGCCGCCACCGATCAGGGGGACTTGTGGGTCAGATCAGGGGGAGGCTCTGGGGGCCTTGAGAGCGGCTGGGACGCCAGCAGGATGCTGCCAGGGCCGGCGGCTGCAACCCCGTGCCCACCGTCAGGAAGCAGCCCAGCCCTTAGCCAAGAGTCGCCAGCCCAGCGCTGCCTTCTGTTCTGGAACACAGAACGGCCGCCAGGAACTCCGGCCAGCCGAGGCCTCTCAGAGGAAAAACAATCAAACCTTAACCAACCCAAGAGCCGACTCACAGGCCCTGGGCTGATGCGTGCGAGCAGGGCACCCGAGGGCCCTGGCGTCTGTCCATCTCCCCCTCGACCCCGCTCCCTGGGGGGGCCACTCCTGTCCTTGTCACCAGGAAGGCAGGGAAAGCACCGGACTTGGCTTCGGCCCCTGTGTGTGGACAGGGAGGAGGAGACCTGAAACCCAGGGGTCTCCGTGGGTACAGACACGGCCAGTGCTCCAGGGCCACCCCCGCCTCCTCCAGTGCCGCCCCCTCCCCTGCCACCAAGCAGAGAACTCAGCCTCATCGTCCTTCCAGTCTGGGAACCTGCCCACGGAATGTCTCGAGCCTGCTCGCTCCAGCCATTGTGGCCATCTGGGGTTCACTCCCCAGATGGCCGCTATGGCTGGAGCTGGGCCGATGTGAAGCCAGGGGCCAGGAGCTTCTTCTGGGTCTCCCACATGGGTGCAGGGGCCCAAGGACTTGGGCCGTCTTCTACTGCTTTCCCAGGCCATAGCAGAGAGCTGGATGGGAAGTGGAGCAGCCGGGACTCAAACCAGCACCCATATAGGATGCTGGCGCTGCAGACACTTAACCCACTGTGCCAAAGTGCCAGCCCCCTGAATTCCTTTCTCCCTGGCTCCCTGTCTGGAGCTGCTGGTCGTGGCCGCCGTGTGTCCTGGCTGTTGGCCTGTGGCAGTCTAGCCTGGCACCTGCCCGGGGGCCGTGCTCTGCTCACTGCTGGGTTTCGGCTGTGTCACACAGTCACAGGTGCTGGAGGTTCACCTGTGCCCAGCCCCCTCCGTGCTCCAGGTCTGCCCTGAGCCCTTCATGAGTGCTCTGAGAACAGGGGGTGCCACCCACACAGTCCAACCCACCCTGGTCTCCTTGCACGGCCATGTCCACAGGGACCGGGAGGTTCAGACCCAGGTGCCTCCGGGGCCAGGGCCATGCGGGGCCTGGGTGCTGGGCCCGGGGAATGCAGCAGGTCACTCCGCGGGCCAGGCTCACGCAGCACAAAAGCAAGCTCACTTCTATGAAATCCCACGGTGCCAGCAGGCACCTGGTTCAGGTCTCTGCCCTGGAGCCGGATCCCCTTGGGGCGGGGCGGGGCGGGGGAGGGGTTTGCAGGAAGATAATCTGCTCTTTCTGGGCCCAGAACCCAGAGAGCAGCAGCTGACCCGCCGGGCTCTCACACCTGCCCCTGTGCACCTGCCCCTGTGCACCTGCTCGTCCCGTAGCTGAGAAGAGCTGCCTGCCCTTACTGGTGGCGGTGGTGGTGGGGAGGGCCTGTACCACACTCTGATTCGTGTGGTCCTGCACCCACTCTCTTGCCAGCCATGCCTCACCTGACACACAAGGGGTCACACGGGCTTCTGACAAGCAAACTTGGCCGTGATGATCAGGGCTACTTCCGGATGGCGCTGGGGACTTGCACGAGGCCTTTGGGTCTCTGAGTTCAGGCTGAGACCAGGCAGCAGTAGAGACAGACAGGTCTTCCAAGCACTGGGTCACTTTCCAAATTCCCACAGATGGCCGGGGCTGGGCTAGAGCCGGAGCTAGGAGCTGGGAACTTAACCTGGGTCTCCCATGCAGATGGCAGGACCCAGCTTCTTAGCATCAGCGGGAAGCTGGAGTTGGGAGCCAGAGCCAGGCCTGGAAGCAGGCACTCTGGTATGGGACGCGGGCGTCCTAGCTGGCATCCCCCCTGCCAGCTCAAACCTACAGCCCTCTCAGAAGGTCACTCGTCACCTCTCCATCCTGTCCCTTTGGGGGCTAGGTTGCAACATTCAAACCACTGCGGCCCCCAAAGCCTGCTTCGAGCACCACAGAGCATCAGTGTAGACCAGGCACACGCCTCAGTTCTAACCTCCCAGAAACCCTGCGGGCATGCACAATTGCTCCCACTTTGTAGGTGAACAGACGGAGGCTCAGCGGGCCCATAACTCGGCCGGGGTAACAGAGGGTGCTGGAGCCTTCTCCAACTGACCACAGCCCTGAGAGCACGCTGCAGGCGGAGCAGCCTGTGTTCAGGTACGGCCTCCGTGCTTGTTGCCATCAAAGAAAGATATGGCCTTGCTGTGCCTGGCAGTCACACCCCCCCCCCCCCCAGCTTACTGAGGTCGGGCCAAGCAACGGGGGGGGGGGGGGGGGGGGGGAGGTGAGCGAGACCTGAGACAGCGCCTCTGCCCAGCCTGGCCCTGGGGGAGGGGGGAGGGGCAGGCAGTTCCAGGCAGAGGGGCTGGAACAGGCGGCAGGGGAGGCCCGAGCCTTTTCGCCCAAGGTTCCGGTGGCAGGAGTCCCAGAACTTGGAGATTACCGGAGGTTTGGTTTAGCTCAGCAAATAAATGTCTCCCCAAGCAAAAAGTTTCCAAGGCTTGGTTTAACACTGACCCCAAATGACTCGACTCAGACATGCGAGAACTGTCACTGGGGTTGTTAGGATTGCCATGGTCTTGTTTATGTCCCTGGTGTCTTCCTCCAACTCTGCGCCCAGGCTGTGACGCCCCGCACCCCACCAGGTGCACGTCCCCCGTCTGTGCTGAGCCCATGGGACCCCTGTCAGGACCACCTAGCAAGGGACCTGCCCTCAGCCTCATCCCACATGGGCTCATTCCTCGGGCCCACAGGACTTGCTCAAGGGCTTGTTAAGACAGCAAAGCAGTGCACAGTGGGTTAAAGCCGCCGCCTGCAGTGCCGGCATCCCATATGGGCGCCAGTTCCAGTCCCAGCTGCTCCACTTCCAATCCAGCTCTCTGCTGAGGCCTGGGAAAGCAGTGGAAGATGGACCAAGTCATTGGGCCCCTGCACCTGCGTGGGAGACCTAGAAGAAGCTCCTGGCTCCTGGCTTCGGATCGGCACAGCTCCGGCCATTGCGGCCATCTGGGGAGTGAACCAGCGATGGAAGACTTCTCCCTCTGGCTCTACCTCTCTCTGTAACTCTGTCTTTCAAATAAAATAAATAAATCTTTTTTAAAAAATGACAGCAATGGGGCAGGCCACCTGCGGCTCCTGGATTGGATCCCGGTGTTGGCACAGAGGCCTGGAGATGGACCACGACCACCCAGGTCCAGCTCCTCACATCCCAAAGAGGTCCCCAGCCTGCCCCCTCCCCGGGAAGGTGGTCCCCCGTTCCACCTCCACCCCGTGCAACAAATGTCCCACTTGCAAGCAGAGCAGGGGCCTCCACAAGTTCTGCAAATGGCTGGGATGAAATAAAAAGGAGGCATGGATTTTTTGTTCGCTTGCAGCAAAATAAGGTTCTCTCTTCATCGCATTTTCTAGGGCGTTTTGCCGTATTCTCACGATCCCTGTCTCCTGGGGGCGAGTGGGGCTCATCTGGGCATTTCGCCTGGCAGAAATCAGCAGGTGCTCCGTCCACCTGGGCTCTGCGGAGTCTCCTCCACTGCTCATCTTACAGAGCCGACTTCTCCACCGGGCTGTGAGTTCCTCTGGCTGTCAGTCAGCTCGGCGCTCTCAGAAGCACCTGCGACAGTGCCCGTGGCCTTTCCACCTGACCCCCGCCCTGCGGCCCCACGTCAGTCGCTTCCCTCCGCAAGAACCACACAAACCATCACGAGGTTTCTGCGACTTGTTTAATTTTTAGTTAAAAAAAAAAAAAAAAGCCGTTGCGCATGTGCAAACTCTCCCCCTGGGCTGCGACACCCCCTCCCCGCGGCCAGCCTCACCCCGTCGCCCCAGCCCCGCCCCCGCCATGCTGCCCTTTGGCTTAGGACCACCGGGGGCCCACCGCCTCCACCTGTTTCTTCCGCAGCCTGCAGCAGCTGCTGTGGGCCGACCACCCTGCCCTGTGCTGCCCCCGGGGCGGGGGGAGGTGGAGGGAAGGCCCCCCCATGCAGGGGCCAGCTGCGGAGCCTGGCCACTTAGGACCCCTGTCTACGGCGGGCCCTGCAGGGCAGGATGGCGTGGGGTTTGCAGAACCCAGGAAGCGGCTCGTGGCCCTCCTCCCCCCTCCTCCCCAGCTGGCCTGGCCCCGCCTCCTCCTCCTCCTCACCCTCCCCACACCTCTTCCTCCCCTTTGTGCTTCTTCCCTTCTTCCTGCGGCCTCTCTTCCTCCTCCTCCTCCTCCTCCCGGTCCCCCTCCGGCTCCCCTTCCTGCGTCTTCTCGCTCCTCCCCGCCCCCCTCCTCCTGCTCTCCCTGCCCGGGGCCCGCAGCTTCCCCGGGGAAGGGGTTGGGGGCGAAGCCGGGGGCGGGCCGGGGGCGGGGCCGGCGGCGTCAGACGCCGTGCGCGCCCAGGCTGAGCACCGAGAAGGCGGCGCGGTGCTTGCGGAGCAGCAGGCGGATTTTCTCGTCGTCCGAGTCCGGGTCGAGCGGCTTGTTGTACTCGTCGTCCTCGGTCTCCGAGGCCGCGCGGTCCCCGCCCGCGCCCGCGCCGCCGGGGCCGCGGGGCGTGGAGGACGAGGGCTCCAGGGCGCTCTTCTTGCGCCACTTGGTTCTCCGGTTCTGGAACCACACCTGGGCGGGAAGCAGCGCGAGGGTCGCCGGCGCGCGCGCACGCTCACAGCACTGCGCGCAGGACGCGTGCGGAGCGCACAGGTGCACGCATATGCACACAGCACGCGCGCACACAGGCATAGCAGTGCACACAGCACGCGTATGCGCACCACACGCACCCAGGCACACACACACCCACACATGCATGCCCAAGGCCTGGTGACTCGGCTCGCTGACCAGCCCTTGTTCGTATTCGCATCACCCCCGGGGGCATGGAATCATCCAAGCATGGCCAGCTTGGCCCTGGGCCTCCCAGGGGGCGGCGGGGGGTGCCTCGCCCAAACCGCTCTCCTCTCCTTTTGCTCTCTGTTGCGCTTGGGGAGCCGAGGGTTTGAAACAGCCAAGGAGTGCAGACAAGCACCCAAAGAAGCAGAAAAACAGGCGGGAGGGGGCCCATCCCATCTCCCGCTGGCTCCAGCAGGGTGAAAAGTGGGACTTTCAAAGAGGTCGTGGATGATGGGTCTGAGTTAGTTTGCGACAGCATATCTAGACATCCATGTATACGTTTCCCAGGGTACACACCTCCCCAGGAAGGTTTGGAAAACCCGTATTTGGCTGCAAAGGATGGCAGCTCGCTGGAGACCCTCGGCCCCCATGCCTCCTTCAACCTGTCGCCACCCCCACTGAGCTGGGGCAAGCTCGGAGCGTCCTACTCTGCGTCGGAGTTGGAAAAGCTGCCTCCAGGAGCCCAAGGAGGCAGCAATAGATTTTCGAAGGCCTCTTGGCCATTTCCGGCTCCCTGGCGTTAACTCCATTTTACAGATCAGTGAGCCAAGGCCAGGTGCACTTGCTGGCCCATGGACCGAGCCTACGCCTGGGGTTCCAATCCAGTCCCTGGGCTGGGCCCCTGATGCTTGGAAATTTCTGGTTGAGCCAGCAGAGAAGTGGGGGGGGGGGCTCGAGTCACACACAGACTGAGGTTGGTGTCCCACCTCCCGCCTCTGCCTTTGCCAGCCTGGGGGCCATGAGCACGAGACCCCCACTGGGATCGTTCCTCATGGGATGGCGTCGGGGCCCCGTGTGGCTCTTGGAACAGGGCGCAGTAGCCGCTTGTGGGTGGGCTTCATCCTTTGGGATGAGGCGGGCAGGCAGTGTCCCAACCCAGGACAGCCTCCCTCCGAGGAGCTGGGGATACGCATGGCATTCTGCCCTGAGCGCCCGCAGCCTCCCCTCCCCTTCTCTCTCCTCCCCTCCCTGCACCCACTCACCTTGACCTGGGATTCGGTCATTCCCAGCGAGTAGGCCAGCCGTGCCCTCTCTGGGCCAGCCAGGTACTTGGTTTGCTCAAAGGTTTTCTCCAGGGCAAAGATCTGGTGCCCCGTGAAGGTGGGCCGGGTATGTTTCTTCTTATGGATGCTGTCGCTCAGGGGGTCTGAGGCTGGGGGAGAGAGGTCAGCAAGATGAGTGGGATCTGGGGACCTGTGCCTTGTCTGGCCGTGCAGGGGGCCCGGGAGGGGAGCTGCCCTGGCTTATGGCTGCTTGGGGGCAGCAGGGCTTGGAGCTGGAGCCTTTCCATGGAATGTTCTCGCTGCTCACAGGTGCCGGCTTCCCTGGGTCAACAGTGCCTCCTCTGTTTGCAGGTCACCTTCTCCGTGCTCCAGGGACAAGGGACTCCCACCTCCTGCTGCTGCCTGCTTGCTCTCGGGGTAACCCAGGAGGGGGCAAGCCTCCAGGCCCTAAGCTGCTCACACACTGTGAGGCCGGGCGTGCAGGTGCAACCCCCTAGTGTGGGGCGGGGAGCCCAGAGTTCCCTCCTGCTCTGCCCCGGCTCAACCTGCTTAGGGCCCTGGTGGCCCAGGTGTGACACCTGAAGCCACGGCCATGCTCCTTGCCTCCCAGGTGAGCCTCAGCTGCCTGTACACATCCCGCCACGTCCTCTGGTCCCTGACTGGCATTGTGGACCCCCCCCCAACCCCCGACAGCTTCCGGAAAACCGAGGCTTCGGGACAGAAAGGGCGAGCCCCTGTCGCAGCCCGGCCCGAGTTCACTTGACTTAGCAGCTGTCCCCAGAAGCCGGGCAGGGGTCACTGCCGCTGGCGACTGAAGCCCTAGGGAGGGAGGAGAAAGGCCCCCTCCCCACTTGCAGCGGGGACCTGGACGGGCTCAGCGTGTGGGCTGTGCCCCTGGCTGATCCCAGAGCATGAGCGGGCTCTTGGGGAAGGTGACGCAGTGGCGAATGTTCCTCCCTGCGGTGACCCTTGAGCCAGGCGTGGGTGCAGAGGTGGTGGGAGGGCTCTGGGCAGAGGAAGTCAGGTAGGTGGCTGCCGGCCGGGCCTCCCACGGGGCGCGTGTGTGGGCTGCGTGGCCTTGGCTAGAACTGGAGCTCCCGGGTTGCCCAGTAGGGCACACTGGGGCAGCCGGAAACCTGCGCGCTAGCAGAGCCGGGGAAAGGAACGGGGCGAGGGTGGAGCTTGGTTTCTGTGCTCAGCGAGGCAGAGGGACCCAGGGCTCCGAGCTGGGCTGTGTCGTGGTGGTCCCCCTGCCACTGCGCCTGGGCTGGGTGGTGCCGGGCCGGGCAGAGGCCCACCCCATACTCACGGTTACTGCACTGCCGCCCGCCTCGCCAGTCCTGGCCCGTGTCCGCCCAGCAGTTCCGGGTCCGGGCTGGATACTCGCTGGTGGCCTTGGAGAAATTGCCCACCTGGGGGCCGTAGTAGACCCCCTGGGAGCCGAGTCCACCAAAGCCTGCCACGTGGGGGTAGCTGGAGAGGAGGCTGCTGTTCGGCGTGGCCAACGGCCTGCTCAGGATGTCCGTGATCCCGTGGGGGGTCCCGGCGGCCAGCTGGGGGCCCAGCCCCGGCGGGCTGAGCTTGTAGAAGGAGTTCTGCACCGAGTACTGGCACACCGGGGCCTTCATCTCCGAGAACTGAGCCAGTGGCGTGTTGTTCAGCAGGAACGTCCCCTGCAGGTTGGACTCCATGGCGTCCAGCCGGGGACGGGGCAGCCGGTGAGCAGCCCCCGTCCAGGACCCTAATGCCCGAGACCCCACGCTCCAGCCCCGAGTCTCATGGCGGGGTTGGAGGATCAGAACCCACCCAGGCCCCACCCCCACCCCCACTGCCCTCCCCACCTACAGCACCCGGCCCAGTCCCCACCCAGGCACCCGGGCACCCACGTCAGCTACTCGGGAGTCAGGTGCTCCCCGGGCAGGTGAGGGGCTTCCGGAGCGCTCCTGGCCGCAGCCTCGCCCCGGACCCTCGCCCTCCGCTGAGACCCCTGTGAGTCTGGGGACCCTCCTTGAGAAGTTGGAAGTTCAGAGAAGGAACATTACCCTGATAAAGCTATGGCCCATTAGAATACAGCGCAGGGATTGGCTGAGCTGCGGGAGGCGCGCAGCCATTGGTCGGAACACACACACACACACACACACACACACACACACACACGGGCCCGGCAGTGGCTTTCCTTAGACAAATTGTACTTTGAAAGATTGACTGTAGAATCAGCCAGGGTGTGTGTGTGAGAGAGAGAAAGCAAGAGAGAAGCCAGAAGCTTAGAGGGCCCCCCTGCTCCCCTGCAATCCAGCATCTTGGGACAGGTTGGGGGTGGGGTGGGTCTGGGGGCTCTGGGAGTCACAGCTCCTGCTGCTGCTCCCCCGACGCAGAGGGGACCGGGATCGGAGGCCACTGCTCTGAGCTGTCCGGCCCCTTAGTGCATCGTCTTCCTCCCGGTGTCAGGACGGGGTAAGTGGGGAGGCTGGACAGCACCTGCTCTCGGGTTGGGTTGGGGAAGGGGGGTTTGCAAATGCCTGCCACCTGCTTGAGACCCTCTGAGCTGACTGGGTCTGTGCCGGGCAGTGAGGCAGGGCGGGGAGTGGCGGATGTGTGCATTTTCCTGCCTACTGAGCCTGGGGCCCTCACCTCTGCCTGTCTTTTCCTCATTTGTGCCATCTCTGAGCCATGGCCACATTCCGCCTGCCTTGGTGTGTAGGTTTCCCAGCTTGGCCGAGCGAGGGGTGGGGCCCTGCGTCAGGCACTTCAGAAAGTGTGTGAAATGCATGCATAACGAGGGGTCTTTTAAAGGATCATGGGAAACATGCTTTCTGAAAACACCATGCACGGAGTTCAACTTTTTTTCTTGCTCATCTTTTAATTCCATTGTCCACGAGCTGTTGTAGTTGATGCCCGGGGCGGGACGGTTCTTTCACCCGGAGCACGATGTATTTAAAGAGAGCAGCCATTGGCCTGGGCGGCCTTTCAGATTCTGGGAGAGGCGCCCGGCGTGGGCTGGGGGCGAGGGTGCCCGGGGAACCTGAGCCTGCAACCCCTTGCTCTCCCAGCGATGGGAACTCCTGCAAAGGAGGAGCTGTGGCCAGCGGTCCGGTTCTTAATTCTCATCTAATGTGAGCTGGACCCAAGTCTGGGGCTCCCACCCGACGGGCTGAAGTGCCTTTTCGGCAACCACGTAGTCCACGGCCCCCTGGACAGGTAAGGGAATGGGGATGGGTGGGTGTGTGGCACAGTGGTTAGGACAGCCGGCTCCCTTGGGTGCAGTCCTGGCTCCTGCGCTTTCGAGCTAACTTCCTGCTAATTAACGCACAGCCCGGGAGGCAGCAGGTGAGGGCTGAAGCCCCTGGATCTGTCATCTGAGTTCTGGCTCCCAGACTTGGCCTGGTCCATCCTGGCTGTTGTGGGCATTTGGGGAGTGAACCAGTGGATAGCTCCGTCGGTCTCTCTGCTTTTCAAATAGGACGAGAGTTTTTAAAACACGCCAGGTGGAGTTGGGGACAGGAGCGATTTCTTGAGCTTGGAGTGGTATTGATAAAACCAAGCACGCTCATCCCAGGGGGTGCCGGGGGTCCCATCGGTGGCACCCGTCGTGCTGTGGAGAGCCCCCTGCCTTGCGGTAGCCACTGGGCAGCCCCCTCGGGGGCACCTCCCGGTGGGTGGCCCTAATAAGACCCCTCCTCGGGGTGCAGGCCTCCCTGCGGACGGCCCCGCCCCTGCCCTCCCCACTCCCCCAAGGCGAGCCAGGAAGGAAGCCGCAGCCCCGCACTGTGGGTCCATTTCTTTATTAAGTTGGACATTTGTTCAGCTGGTGTAGGGAGAGTGGTCTATACATCATAGTGAGGGCGAGGGGGACTCTCTCCCGGTAACAGCATGTGGGAGGGAGTCCAGAACTGATTTATTTATCATAACAATTAAAAAAAAATTCCAGGTCATTTCAAAACTTCTAAAAAGCGTCTAATGTGCAGACTGCAGCATTCTCTAGGCATCGTGTGGAGACCCCGAGCTACTCCCCCCCAGCCCCGGACAGCTCCTACTAGCATCGGGGTGGACCAAGCAGCCATGCCAGCGGAGCGCAACGTGCCAAAGCGGAGCTGGAGCCGGGCCCGCGCGCGGCGCTAGCGGGGGGCTCCCGGGGTCGGGAGGAAGGGCCGTCGCCGCGTCGGGCGTGCGCGGCGCGCGTGTGTGCTACTTGGAAGGTGAAGAGTGTCCCGCAGCGGCCCGCAGCCGCGCCTCTGCGGAGGGCGGGAGCCCGGCGGGGGCCGGCTTTGTGCTGCTGATTGGGGCCTCCCTCTCGCCGGAGGAGCGCGGCGGGGCGGCTGCGGGGGGCTTAAGGCTCTTCCCTGATGGCACCCGAGGGGGGCGAGGGTCAGCCCGCCGCCCCGTGCGTGCCTTCCCGCGCGCGCGCTCCCCCGGGGCCCCCGCCCCCGCAGCCCGCAGCCGTCCCCGCCGCGGACGCGCGGCTGCCCGCTTTGCATAGTATTGATTGATTTCCGTGCGCGCACGGCTGAGGGCTGTGTCCCGTCACGCCCGGGACGCGGGCGACGCCATCAGCGCTGCGAGATGCAGAATCGCCTCTTCCCTGGCGGGCATGCTGGTGCGATCCCGGCCCTTCCCGGCTCGGAGGGGAGAGACGACCCCCCTGGGGCGGGGAAGGGGGTCTCTGCCCGCCACCCCGGAAGTCCCCACCGCAAGGGACCCTGAACACAGCCTCGAGGGCAAGGGCTTTCCGTCGGAAGATGATTGCTACTGAAACTGGCAGACACAGAGAGAGGAGGTGAAGGGGAGAGAGAGAGAGACAGATAAAACTTCCCCGGCGATCCACACGCGGGAACTTCCACGCGGCTTCGCCGTCACAGCAACGCCGGCGTGAGTTCCGGGCGGAAGGCGGCGTGCGTCGGTGTGCGTGTGGAGTGCGCATGCGTGTGCGTGTGCGTGCCTACGTGCGCGCACGCGCTCCGGGGCCCGCCGTCCGGGGCGCGCGAGGCTGGGCGGGCCGGGCGCGTGGGGACGCGGGGCCAGGGGGCTCGGCGGGGCCCGGGCCTAGTTCTCGGCGGCCGTCCCCGCGCCCTCGCCCTTGCACCCTTCCGGGAAGCCATGGTGGATTTCTCGCGGAGGAAGCTGGAAAAGAAAGTACCCTGTACGAAGTCAAGATGGAAACGCCCCGGGGCCCTCGGCGGCCGCGAAGGAGCCCTTGTGTGTCCACGTGTGCTGCTGCGCCCGCCCCTGTCGCCCAGCCTCGCCGCCCTTGCCCTTGCCCTTGCCCTGACCCCGACGGAGGCCCTCGGCACGGGTCACGGTCACGGGTCGCGGTCCGCTCCGGCGCTCCTCCCGGTGTGCAGGGCAGGGTGTGTGGAGTTCAGGGGTTGGGTGTCGACGTGAGATCCTGGGGGACACAGAGAGCCGGGTCACTTCGAGGCCCAAGACCCCGGAAGGCAGGCAGGCGCGGTGGGCGCAGACCCCGACCGAGGGAGAAGAGCCCGGAGCCCGTGCTTGCCCTCGGGTAGGGGGCTTGCGCCAAGGCAGGTGCCGAGCCAGGCCGTGGCGCCTCCCGCCGTGTGCACACGTCCCGAGGGGTGGCAGCCCCTGCCCCGCCGTGACCCGCAGGCCCCATGCCCCGTGGGTGGACCCTCACCCTGGGATAGATGTCTCAGGCTGGAAGGCAATTCTGTCTGCAGGGACCCTGGCCCCCGGTACAAAAGGAGAACCCTTGAATGGGAGCTGACAGTCTCCTGGGGGGGTTATGGTTGGAAACCTTTGGCATCTCCAAATGCGTTAGGGGCTCGCTCCCCCAGGGTTTTAAGTTGAGGGTTAAAGTTGGGCCTCAGTCCCCAAACTGGGCGCTAAGCAGCCTTGTGCTACAGAAAGCGGATGAGCACCGGCAGGATGCCACACAGAAAGGCACAGCCACCTCCAGCCCGGGAGCCGTCTTGGGCCCGACCGGTGACAGGACTGCAGAGGGGACGCCGGGGGTGACCAGGGGCTTCCGGGGAGGGGAGCGCAGTGCCCTGTCCCCTGCCGCCTGACCCTGGCCAGGTCCTTCCCCGCTCCGTGACGGGTTTCCTCTGCTCTAGACGGCACGCAGTGGCCCGGTCTGCCTCCCCGCCTGCAGATTCCTCTGTGTGTGTGTCTGCCTCCAGTCCCTCGCTGGATTCTAAACAGTGTGGACAGCGGCAGCTTCCCGGGGTCCCTGGTGCTGAGCACCCCTCAAATCAGAGCGCTTGGCGAGAGAGAGGGGGTTCTCCACAGCAGGCAGCCCTGGCAGGGGTAGGGCGACACCGCCTCCTTGCTGCCCCCTGGATTGCACTGTGCAGCCCCCCCCGCTGAGAACACAGCCGTCTCCCACAGTGGGTATCTGACAGAGTAAGATGCCGGGAGGCAGCAGGTGATGGATCTCTGCCACCCACGTGGGAGACGTGGATTGCGTGCCCGCTGCCTGGGCATTTAGGGAGTGAACTAGTGGATGGGAGGTCTGTCTCGCACATAAATAATTAAAAAAAAAAAAAAAAGATAAGGCGAGAGGGGGGAGAGAGAAGGGACCAGGAAGGGGGGGGGGAGGAGAGAAGAGAGAGCAAATAGCCCCCTTCCTCTCTTAACGGCTGCGCAGCAGGCTCTGCCCTCATTCTGTCTGTGCCACGGCACCGGCACCTGTCCCCACCTCCTGCTGCTGTGGCTCTGTGCACACTTGCAAGGCGCCGGCACTGGGGCTTTAACTCACGAGTGAGAACATCCCTTGCCTGCCCGCCCCACCCCCCGCCCCCCGCAGAGATCACACACCGATTTTTATCTGTAGTAAACTATCCCACTGTCACAGCAAAGGCGAGGCTCACAGCCACGGCGCCTGACCGGGGAAGTGTCTGTTCAAGTCACCCGGCCGCAGGCGCAAAGCCCTCCTGGTACTGGCAGTGACTTGAGGAGGGGGGGTCAGAACGAGGCCCACCCGTGCTCACCCAGGACGAGCGTGCTTCTCCCTTTCGGGGACGGCCGTAGCTTTCATTCACCCCAGAGCGGCACCTGTGCCACATGTCTGCTAGGGGGTGTGGGCGGGAGAGCCTGGAGGAGTCAGTGTAACTCCCGGGCTTCGGAAGGCGTGCCAGTCCCGTGAGGCGCTGGAAGTCAGCTGACTTGCTCTCGATGGCCCCAGCCCTGGAGTCCCCAGGGGCGGGGTTGGGGGGCTCACTGGGTGGTGCCTCCGGTTCTCAAGTTTTTACTGCCGGTAGCACCCGTTCAGACGGCATTCTTGGAGCTTGGGACTGAAGGTCACGCACGCTGGATGCGGGAGCCAGGCCCCCAGCTCCCCCTCTCTGAAACAGACCCAGCGGGTTCTCGCCAACCCGGGCTCCCATCTGTCAAGTACTGTGGGTCCACGACTTAGCTGTGCTCCTGGGTTCCCAGGACGCTGCCTGCCCGGTGCACCTTCCAGGTAGAGCTGACTCCTTAGCACTGCCCCCGGCACCCCGCTAACCCCTGCCTGCTCCGCCACAGACTCCTGCCTGAGACAAGCCCCACGGTCCGGAACCACCAGCTGAGACCACAGCATCACCCCCACGAAGCAGAAGACAAGCAAAGCAAGCAGCACTCCTGGGCCACACGGAGTTCAGGCACGGGAGCGGGACAGAAAGGAGGTGTCGCCTCGTTCTGCGGCTCCAACCGTCCTGCCCCCTCAACTCCCCCCACCGTGCCCGTCAGTGATGACAGCCAAAGTGTGGCAGGTGCTGGGCTTGGGGCGGCCACGGGGCGGATGTGCAAGTGAGCGCGCGCCTGAGCGAGCAAGGGGGGAGGTCAGTGCTCAGGAGCCCTCTCTGCCCCTGCCGCTACAGCTAATGCCTTTGCCTTTTGTGCCTTTTCCTGGCTCCCAGCCCTGGCCTGCCCCAGGCTGCTCCCAGTGACACACACACACACACACACACACACACGCGCGCGCGCGCCCTCCCTCCAGCCCCTCTCCTGCTCCGGGACAGCGGCAGGCCGGGAGCCGGCAGAAGCGCCTCTACAGCCGCTGCTATTGCTACCGTGAGAAAAGTGAGGCCTGGAGTGCTCTGCTCCCTCTCCCGGCTCGCGAAGCCTGCCCTGAGGGCTATTTCCGGTGCCATGGCAGCCAGTGGCTGTCCTCCACGCCAGCAGCCTGGTTGTGGGGGCCCGGCAGTGCTGGGGTTAACGCTCTGGCCTCCTTAAGCTGCTGAGCCTTCAGGTCTAATTTTATCCCCGCACAGTCCCCCCCTTTGCTTGCCCGAGTGCTGAGATATGTTGGGAAGGCCCAAGTCAGCATTTCTGGAGGCCCAGGAGGCGGCAGGCCTGCTCTCCGCCTCACGCAGAGCAGGCAGGCTGGCCAAGCCCTGGGGCTGGAACGGAACCATCGGCTGGGCGCGCAGGCCCCGGGGCCACGGGGCTTCCTCCATTCCCGCTGACTCCCACCCCGATGCATCCTGGACTGAGCCGCCCCGAGCTGGGCGCAGGCAAGGGCCTCAGGGCAGCTCAGTACAGGGTCCCTCAGGGAGGGCGGAGATGGTCAGAGCCGGCTGCGGAGCCTCCTGCCGCCTGTTCACAGGCACCATGCACCCTCGCCCTGGCTTGCGGGAGAAAGCCACCCACCCCAGGCTGTGTGTGTGTGTGTGTGTGTGTGTGTGTGTGTGTTGGGGAGGCTCCTTTCCAGGAGCACATGGCACTTACATTGCCAGCTCACACCCCCCACCCCCCGCACCTGCAGGGGCCTGGACTCCAAGGCTGCTCCCGCCCTGGGCACGGTGTTCAGGTCAGCCCTAGGAGCTGAGTCGAGCAGGTGGCGCCGACTGCGTCCTCCCCCGGGGGCCTCAAGGCTCCGAGTCATGGACAGTGCCTCTGGGTGAGGGGCACAGCAGGCACGTGCCCCTCCTGTGGCATGCAGAGAAGCGGTGGGCGGGGGCGGGGAAGTGAGCCCCCCGCGGTGGGCCCAGGCCATGCAGAAAGGCTGAGAGAGACGGTTACCTCCCAAGAGGCTAGTCCAAGGGGACAGAAGCTGCGCATCACTGCTTGCCCCTCTTCAGGCTGGCCCGTTTCACTATCTGAGCCCCCTTCCTGGCCTCCAGCAGGTCTGGCTGTAGGCCACTCCCTCTCAGCTCCACCTGGCACGGGCAGCGAGGACAGAGAGCAGAGGATCACCCAGACAGGCGGGCAGAGAGAGGCGGCGGCAGGAGGGAGGGGTGTGCAGAGGCCGAGGAAGCAGGGGGCCTGGAGGAACGAGAGGCTGCACCGGCCCTGTGCCAGGAGGGGGACCGGCGCGGGGAGGGCGCTGGGGCTGCCGGCTCGGAGCCTGCAGCCGCCTCAGTACCTTGGCGAGTTTTGTTAAGTAATCGATGTCGGGTTCCAGCTCACTAGCGCCCTCCAGGGGCCTCCCAGCAATCACCTCCTCGTGCTCCTGGGGGTCCCCGGCCTCGGACGAGTCGATCTGCCGAACAACTTTGCGAATGATCTAGAAAAGCCAGGGAGAAAGAGACAGGGTGGGTCGCACGGTCAGGACACAGCAAGTGCCCAGGGGTGGGACAGGAGGGAACGCAGCCCTTGCTGCCCCCCCCGCCCCACGGGGCACGGGCACCGGGTGCAGCCCTTGAGCAACTCACAGTGGCCTGGGAGGGGAGGGGGACATGTGGCTGGCCCCCACCGCGGCTCAGGCCCGACCCTACCCCTGCTTCTCCCCACTTTGCCCGTGGTGCCCTGTCTACCCAATCAGGATCAGCTACCAACTCAACTGATTCCTGCCACCCTATGAGGTGGGGAGGCCCAGGGTTAGGCCGGGGACGACCCCGGGGCTCTGTTCTCTGGGCAGGGCTGGGACTCGAGGGGCTGGACGGGGCAGAGGGGCTATGAGGACCACCATGTGTGCAGCACAGGGCCGAGCGCAGGCCCTGCCGCGGCTGTGCGCTGAGCCGCTAGTGTCTGGCTCTCCCCAGCCCTGGGGCACTGTGCACTCACCTTCTTGGTGACAATGTTGCCCTGGGCATCTGTGAATTGTTCCTCTGTCACCTGCTCCCCTGGAATATTCTGAAGCTCACTCCCCTGCAGCGAGAGGAAGGGAGCCACGTCGGGATAGGGGAGGCCCGTAGGTCCCCACCGCGGCAGGGAACTCCAGCTCGGCAAGTCGCTGGCTCCCTGTAGAACCACGCGGCCTGGGGACAGCCGGGACCTGGAGCTGGGGGCACTGTGTGCATGCAAACAGCCCGGGGCCGGCCAACAGGGGGCCGTTACACCAAGTCTGACGGAGGAGGCCACGGGAGAGGAAGGGGGGCTCCTGCTCCAGGTTCCCCCAGCGCCGGGCACTTTCACAGACATGGCCGCCCTGCCTGATTGCACAGAGCCGGCCCCGCACATGGCTCTGCCCCCTGCTCCTCCGCCCTCGCCCCCAGGCCTGCGGCTGCTTCCCTGCCCGCTGGCTTGCCGGGCGCCCTGCAGCCCGGGCGGTTACCTTTAGGAAGAGCCGGCGCCGGACCACCCTGGTGGAGATGGTCTCCTCGTCGTCCCCCGGGCCCTCCCCCTCCCCCAGCTCCTTGTCTAACTCCTGGTGGACACGTTTCAGCACAAACCGCAGGGAGCTCCTGACAATGTGCAGCACGTTCTGGCAGCTGACCAGGAAGAAGCCCAGCAGCACCAGGGTGACGGCGAGCTGGGTGACGAAGGTCCACATCCTCGCCGCGCGCCGGCCCACCCGCCCTCACGCCCCTCGGGGGCTCCCGAGCCTCTCCGTGACCTCGTCCATCCTGCCCCCCCTACCCCCGCCTCTCTGTGTCTGCGGGAGCAGCCGGCCCTCCTGCCCTCCTGCCCAGCAGTCCCCTAGTGATGTCAGCCTGCTGTAATTTTAGCTCCCAACCAGCTGCCGGGGGCCGGGCCGGGGTGGGGGGTGCTGTCCAACTGGGCTAGAAGGAAGCTGGCAGGTGCAGCGGCCCGGGCACTGACAGCAGGCATCAAAGTCACCGAGGGAGCAGCAGCCGCGCGTCCCCACCCTGCCCCTCCTCCGCCTCCCTGGCTGCCTGGCCCGGTCCTCGCCTAGGGGCCCCACAGAAGCAGCCGTCCCAATAGTGTGGGCCCTGGGCTGGCACAGCGACCAGGGGGTGCCTGCCGGCACTGACACGCTGGACTGGTTTCAAAAGTGGGTGAGGGATGTGCTTGGGACTGGCCGTGTGAGCAGAGCAGGGGTCCCTGGCAGGCCCCCAGGCCCCTCCACAGGAGGCCTGGCCCCAGAGGCTCCCCCCTCCCCGCCGCCCAGGCCCCCTAGCACGTATGCGACCATGCCCTGGACCAGGCTGCCCAGCCGGGAGGAGGAGCCAGGACCCTGGACACGGGTGCCCACCCCTCCCTCCCCAAGCAGGCCCTGTCGCTTCCAGGGCGCCTTGCCCTGGGCCCAGCACGCCCCGTAAGAACTCGGGACTGGGAGACAGTAGATCTGGCTCCCCCAGTTCTGATGCGGGTTTGCTGTGTGACCCAGGAGAACACACAGGGCCCCTCTGGGCTTCACAGTTGGGCCGGGGGCCTGGCCGGTGTGACCAGGAGCACCTGCTCTGGGTCTGAGGCTGCCCAGCTCTCTCCCCGAGGCTGATGGCCGAGGAGCGGGCCTTTCTCTTTTTCTTTTTTTCTTTCCTTCCCTAGGGACTCAGTGGCGATCCCCTGTGCCCCAGGACAAGCTTGGTCCCTGGGAGCACCCGAGGAGGTTGCCAAAGAGCGGCCTGGAGGCAGAGCAGGTGCACGGGTGGCCACAGCTGCTGTCCTGTGCGGGCACACACACTCGTCCCAACAAAACCCCGTTCAGCTCCCAGCCGCCTGTCACAGCCACCAGGGGCCCAGCCCACCGCAGAGCCGGGCGGGGCGGGGAGGGCAGGAGGAGCTCCAGGCCGGCTTCTAAGTCCCAGAATTCCAGGGGCCGTGGAACTCTGGCAATGTGCCGGTCACTCTGTCATTTACCATGGGGGAAATGCAGGTGTCCAGCGTGGTCTCAGGGATCAACAAAACCCCTGGCGGGACCCCGGCCCCCAGCCAGCTGCAGGGACCAGTGGCCACACGCAGGTGCCAGGACACGGGTGACAGTCTCGTGTCTGATGAGCGGGCCCCGCCCTCCTCCCAGCAGGGGTCCCGGAGGCGGAAGGGGAGACCCTGCCCTTGTGTCCTTGCTTCCAGAGGAAGTCAAGTGGCCACCGTGCCTTGCAGGCAGGAACCGTGCCTGGCCCGGGGCTGCCAGGGGCGGCTCTCACCTGTGCCTGCTGGGAGAAGGTGCCCTCGGCCCCCGACGCCCGCTCCCTGTCGGCCGGGGCCTCGCTCACAGACACCGGCGCCTTCTCATCTTCCATGCCCGTGGAGGTGGACGTCGTCCTGGGCCCGGGTGGGAGCTCCTCTGGCCAGGACATCTGTGCAGCTTCTTGCAGGTAGGAGCTGATGGAGCCTTCCCTGTCCCAGTCTTGCAGTCTGGGGGTTCCGGGAGAGGTGCCGACAGCCAGGGAGAAAACAAGGACACCCAGTCATCTCTGGTCTCTCTCGCATCTTCCCACCCAGAGGATACGAGCCAATCTCCCAGCACACTATCTCTCTCCACGGAGCCACCCGTGGCCCACGCAGGCCATCCAGGTGGACAGTCCCCACCCTCTGAGACGACAGCTCCTCCACTGGGCTCTGTGCTTGCTGTGACGAAACAGGGTCTGCACACCTGTCAGCTCACCCTGCCCTCCGGGTCACTCCCACGCCTCATCTGACAAGATGGTCACTCCCTCCCCATCAAAATGCTTTCTCCCTGGGCTGGTGCTGTGGCATAGTGGGTAAAGCCACAGCCTGCAACGCTGGTATCTGATATGAGAGCGGGTTCTAGTCCCGGCTGCTCTGCTTCCGATCCAGCTCCCCACTAATGCACCTGGAAAGCAGTGGAGGATGGCCCCAGCGCTTGGGCCCTGCACCGGAAGAAGCTCCTGGCTCCTGGCTTCAGGCTGGCCTAGCCCTGGCTTTTATGCCCATTTGGGGGAGTGAACCAGTGGATGGAAGACCTCTCTCTCTCTGTCTCTCCCTCTCTCTTTGCAATTCTGCCTTACAAATAAATAAAATTTTAAAACACATTCTCCCATGGCATTCCCCTGCCCTTTCTCCTCTGCGTCCCCGGAGCATCACAATGTCCCGGTTTGCTCTCGGTCTGCTTCCACATGCCGAGTGAGCTCCTCAACCACGGCTGCCCCTCTCCAGACGCCCGGCTGTGTGTCTCCAGCTCTGAGAGGCTTCCTGAACCACGCACGTGTGTGCCAGTCCCAACCACATGAGGCCTGCCACTCCTAGGCACCCGGGGCCTCCAACAGACGGGCTAAGGACAGCGCTCAGATCCACAGCCGCGCGGCACCTGCCGTCTTCACTGAGGCTGTGGCCGCACCTGTGTCATGCGCAGCCCGGTGGAGAAGGCCAGGGCTCGTCTTGGTCCCTCTCTCACCACTGCCAAGGCCTTCAAGGACCTCGGCCCCTCCCCTGCAGGCCTCTGTCCCACCTTGTTGGCCCCTCCCCTGCAGGCCTCTGTCCCACCTTGTCGGCCCCTCCCCTGCAGGCCTCTGTCCCACCTCGGCCAGCAGGGGCCTCCTGCGTACAGGGCCTCGGCCTGCCCGGAGACCACACTTGACCCTGGTCCCCGCCCGAAGTCTTTGCTCACTGCTACTTCCCCCGGCCTCCCCCGCGGCCCCTCCCCCTGCTGTCTCTATCTTTCTCGCACTTGTCATGCTCCCGTGTTCCTATCTGAGTTGCTTCTAATTTCATCCACTTAATCTTGCTCCCTGTGCGCTGGGTTCCATGCCACCCGCCCAGCCCCAGCTGGCTGCGCTAGTGCCTGGCACACTGCACGTGCTCCTTGTGGACTGCTGAGCACACGAGTGAATTCTTGTGTTCCCCCTGGAAGGCTGGCCCAGGTCACGGAGCCTGCAACTAGAACCCAGGCCTTCTGAGGGCCCGCTCACAGGCCCTGCACATCCGGGCACTCGGGGTCCATGGCGGCTGGATACAGGCTGTCGTGGGCTCGCACTGGAAGGCCGTGGTCACACTTGGAATCTGTGCAGGCTTAGTCTGCCCAGTCCCCACGAGGCAAAGGGTTTCTTTAGGAAGCAAAGTGACCTCCTGGCTGTCTCGGCTTCTCAGCCACTCTCTTCTCTCTCTCTCTCTCTCTCTCTCTCTCTCTCTCTCTCTCCCTCTCTCTCTCCTTTCTCTCCCACACACACACACAGGCCTTGGGGAGCGGCCTGGCCAGAACCACGGTTTGGGGAGGAGGAAGTGGGCCACGGCCTTGGGAGCAGGTGCACTGTCCCTTGCTTCCGGGAAGGTTTGGGAAAGCAGCAAGGCCACGTGGAAGAAGGGCCTCTGCCCCCTCTGCCCGTCTCTGTCACCCTGGGGGAACTATTGCACTCCAAGCCCTGTTCTGCCCTCAGTGGGCACCACACAGACGCTGAGAGAGCTCCAAGGCCGGAGGTCCCCGGTGCCTGGCCCATCAGTGTCCCCCACTGGCACGGGGCCCTTGCTTCCCCTGCATGCATGGTGGCCTGGCCAGAGGCACGGCGCTGCTTCACGGCTGGCAGCTCCGTGCCGTGTCCCAGAGGCTCCGCTGCCAGCTGTCTCGAGGCTGGGTGCAGCCCGGCACGGAGCCCAGCTTCCTAGCCTGCAGCTCCCTCTCCCTGTTCCAGCTCCTCTGGGCGGCCCTGCTGCCGCCAGCCCCTCCTCCCAGGGAGCCGCCGGGGTCCGCCCACCCCGAAGCCACGCCCTTACCTGTCCTGGCTCCTCTCCAGCACCTGACTCACTGAGGGCGAGTCTGTGAATCGAGCTTGCGCCCTCCTCTGCTGGCCTGAAACAAGAGACACTTCACTCTCTGAGTCCCGCCTCTGGGAGCCTGGCGGCTTCTCGTCTGACCTCTGACCTTCCTCCTGGTCAAGCAAATCGATAAGGCCATTGGTGGCGTCTGAGTCCACCGTGTCGTCCTCCACGAGGTCCAGGGAGCCCAGCTCGGGGCCCTGCGGCTCCTCCGAGAGCGCCCCCTCCAACTTCCACTCGTGGCCGGTGGCGTCAGAGTCCTCGGCCTTGCTGTACTCCAGAGAGGAGTCCTCAGCAGTGACCAGGGAGGGCGTGAGGTCCGCCGACCACACCTGCATGTCAGACATCTCCAGCATGGCGTCATGCTCCGTGGCCGCCAAGGGGATGGCGTCTGGGACGGCCACCTCGTTCCAGTACTGGTCTGCACGCAGCGGAGAGGGAAGAGCGAAGTGCAGGGAGGCGGGGGACAGCAGCTCATCCTGCAGCGAAGAGTAACCTGCATGGGCAGACAGAGGGCGACATGCTCCAGCCGCGGTCCCGGCCGCACACGCGCACGCGCACACGCACACACACACACACACACACAGGGCGACATGCTCCAGTCGCGGTCCCGGCCGCGCACACACTCACACACACGTGCGCGCATGCACACACGCACACAGACGTGCACACGTGTGTGCGCACGCATGGGTACACATGAACGCATATACACACGTGTACACCCATGCACCCATGCACACACACGCACACATTTGCACACACATCCATACACACATGCACACATGCATGCTCACATACACACATACACACACGCACACGGGTGCAGCCACGGAGAAGCATGCAACGTTTGGGGCAGAGGACTTTGCAAGCTCAAAGTCCCGCACTCAGGCCTTGTGGCTGCTGCCCGGGGACACCCAGGCAAGAGAAGCAAGGCTCTGAGTCGGGGGGCACGGGGGAGGGGCAGCCAGGGTGGAGAAGAGGGGTGCTCCTTTGCTGGGCAGCAAAGAACTTCTAGCAGGAGGCACACACTGATCTGCCCGGCGTTCACACGCAAGCCCCAGCTGGCCACTGCTGGGCAGAAAGACACGCTGCTCTCTCCTCTGCTCCGCTCTAGCTCAGACCTGTCAGTCCCTGGAGGGGCGGAGAGACCAGCCGAGGCAGGCTGCCGTCTGGGGGCAGGCAGCGTCTCGGGGGCACTGTGGACATCCACAGACCCCAGGGCATCGGTCAAGCGGGAAATGGGCTTCTGCTTTGGCATGAAGGAATTGCTCCTCAACTTGACACTGGTTCCAGAAACTGAATGATCTACGGTGGCCCAGGCCAGGGTGCTCCGGGTTCAAAAACAGGGGCCAGGTCAGAGGGCCGCAGCGGGGAGCCATGCACATCTACCCCACGGACCTCATCCCAGCTGCAGGGCAGCATCGACGTGGCTGGATCAGAGCACACACGGCGCTCTCCAAGCACCTGTCCCTTGCTCCCCGGTCTGGTGAAGAGTCCCTGACAGGGCTCTGCCACAGGGCTCCCGGACATTCAAAGACCACCATGAAACTGAGTGGGGGTGCTTAGGGTGTGCGCCGCTGTCAGCGTTCCCGCAGAGGCTCTTCGGCAGCCCCTGCAGCCGGCAGCTGGGGTTCCTGGGTGGGAGCCGGGACTAGGAGACGAGATTCTCCATTGGGCTCTGCTTGTCTGGGGACCAGCCTACAGGGGCTGAAGAATCAGCAGACGCGAGGAGACCCTGCAGTCTCCGGAAACCGACCAAACGTCAGCGTCATCACCTCTCGCCCGCCGCGCCCCACCTCCAGGGCCTCGGGGGCTCAGCCTCGACTGTCTCTTTCCTTTCGCCAGGGTTGGTGTGCTCCTCGGCCTCTCTCCGCTGGACACTCTCCATTGCTCCTCACTCTCACTGGCCCAGCCACCCGATGCCGAGGTCTGATTGCACGCCGGGCACTGTGCAAACACGGCTGGGGGCTGCCGACAAGTAAGACAGGTGCTCTCTGTCTTCTTTAGCACGGTGGCCCGGGGTCTCTGATTCCTGCCACAACCTGCCTCCCACCCATCACGGAACCCATCCCTGGCCCCGCTGAGCTGGCTCCACACTGGAAACACTTTGAGGACAAGGACGATGTCCACCTCTTCTCACGTGCCTAGAGCAGGAAAACCCACTGACCCCAGTGGCTACTGCAGGGCTGTCCACTCGTGGGAGGGATGCAGCCACGCTTACATTCCCTGACAGCTCCGTGGCTAACACGCACCTCTGGGTACCTGGGCCAGCAGCCGTGCCACGTGGCTGTGGGTACGCTGTGGGAGACCTGGACTGAGCTGTAGGCTCTTGGCTTTAGCCTGGCCCAGCCCCAGCTATTGTGGCATTTGAGGCATGAACCAGCAAAATCTCGTCTGTCTCTTTCTCTGTCTCTCTGCCTCTTGAATACATAAAAAATCAGGGGAGGAGGAAGAGACCATGAGGTGGTGGGGTGGCTGGGGGCAGAGGCCAAGGGAAAGCCCTCCTAGCTGTGGCCCAATAGGAGGAGCAGCCAGGAGGCAGGTGGGAGGAGCGAGGAGAGGCCAGCCCCAGCACGATATGAACTCCTTGTCACGGCTCGTCAAACTGTGGCCTCCAACCATGCCCAGAAGTCTCTCCGCTTACACCGGGGTCCTTCCGAAGGTTCACAGACAAACAGAATTAAAAGACTAACTCACGCAAAGAGAAGTCGAGAGCCATGCACAGTTTTTTTTTTTTTTTTCTACTTTTTGAAGACCTCCGGTGTACATGGACTTCAAAGCTTCTCTTGCGGCAGAACAAGCGCATCTTTTAGTTCTGTTCTCCACACCCCTTTGGAAACAGCCTCGTATGGAGCAGAGCATTTCAGTCAAGTCGCTCTTATTTTCCTTTTTGTCCTTGCAAGTATTACTACATTATTTAATCACTGTTGAGTATCTATTGCTGCTGTCACAACAATGCTATAAGGACAGTGATGTTATTCCTACCTTACAGGTTAGGAGGCTAGAAACCACTTAAGATCACACAGCCAGTAAGCGCAGTCTTTCCATTAGATTTTTGCCCTTCATCTCTTTTTTTTTTTTTTTTTGATAGGCAGAGTGGATAGTGAGAGAGAGAGACAGAGAGAAAGGTCTTCCTTTGCCGTTGGTTCACCCTCCAATGGCTGCCGCGGCCAGCGTACTGCAGCCAGTGCACTGCGCTGATCCAAAGGCAGGAGCCAGATGCTTCTCCTGGTCTCCCATCCTGGGCCACTGCACTCCCGGGCCACAGCAGAGAGCTGGCCTGGAAGAGGGGCAACCGGGACAGAATCCCGCGCCCTGACTGGGACTAGAACCTGGTGTGCCGGCGCCGCAAGGCAGAGGATTAGTCTATTGTGCTACAGCCGGCCCTCCCTTCATCTCTTTTAATAGCAGCTTTCCTGGGGCCGGCACTGTGAGGTAGCAGGCTAAGCCTCTGCCTGCGTCGCCAGTTTGAATCCTGGCTGCTCCACTTCTGATCCAGCTCTCTGCTGTGGCCTGGGAAAGCAGTAGAAGATGGCCCAAGTCCTTGTGCCCTGCACCCATGTTGGAGACCCAGAAGAAGCTCCTGGCTTCTGTTGTGGCCATCTGGGGAGTGAACCAGCAGATGGAAGACCTCTCTCTGTCTCTCTCCCTCTCTCTGTCTGTAACTCTACCTCTCAAATTAAAAAAAAATATAGCTTCACTGTGGTATAGTTGACACATAATCAATAAATGTTCACATCCAAAGCAGATAATTTGGTATATTGTGACGTACGTGTATCAGGATACTTCAAAAAGTTCATGGAAAAAAGAAATTAAAGGGTATGTTTATTTTGGTGCAAAATTTTCGGAAATGTGCATTTTTTTTCACAATATGTGTGTCCCATGATTTCTTTGAAGAACCCCTCAGGCCTGGATTTCAAGATTTCCGCACCAACCAAAAGAAACTTTTTTTTTAATTTCATTTTCCACGAACTCCTTGAATGAGCCCTTGAGTAGCGGTGACGTCATCACCAGAATGGGGGGGTCACCATTCTGGGAAGTTCTGCTGATCACTCCCTCTCCCTGCCCCTTCCGACCCCCCAACCCTTCCTGGGGCGACCACCCACCAGCTCTCCAGGACCATACGCGACTTTGCATTTCCCAGAATTCAGTGGAATCACGGAGCGTGGGCTCTCTGGGTCCCACTTCCTTCCCTCCCAGCCCAGTTCCTTGGGCTTCATCCATGGGTGCTCCCATGACAACGCTGAGCTCTCTCCCGCGGGGTGGACACACCGCAGTGTGTGGCCTGTCTACCTGCTCGAGGGTGCGTGGGCCGCTGGGGCTGAGAGATCTCGCCGGGAGTCTGCATGGACAATGCTCTCTTTCCTCTTGGGTAAAGACTCGGGGGTGGGACAACGGGGCCAGACAGATGGCAGGTGGACGTGTGACTTTGGAAGACACAACAGGAGTGGTCGCCAAGTGGCTGAATCATTGTGTGTTCCCACCCCAGGTCTTCCACATCCTCGCCACCACTCGGTGGTCGCTGTTTTCGGTTTGCATACAGTGACGTCCCCTTATAGCTTTGATTTGTATCTCCCTGATGACAAAGGCTGCTGAACATGTTTTCGTGTGCTCGTTCACCACCACATCTGTACACATTCTAGGTTAATCTCTCTGCGTATCTTTTCTGCACTCTAAGAATCGGGCTCTTGCCTTATTACTGACTGCTGAGAGTTCTCTGCATATCCTGTATCAGGACTCCTAGTCTGTAGCTGTGCATTTCCATTTCGAAGAGCAGAATTTAAGAATTTTGATGAAGTCCATTTTATCTTTCATGGATTGTGCTTTTGGTGTTGGATCCAAGAAATCTTTGCTTTACTTGAATCTCTAATTTTTTTCCTTGTTTTAAAAAGATGTATTTATTTGAAAGAGACAGAAACCATCCATCCACTGGTTTATTCTCCAAATGGCCATAACAGCAAGGGTTGGGCCAAGCTGAATCCAGGAGCCTGGACTCCGTGGGTCTCCCATGTGGATGGCAAGGGCCCAGGCACCTGAGACACTTGGCTGCCTCCCAGGACACTGGACCGGAAGTGCAGAGCTGGGACGTGAACCAGCATTCTGATAAAAGATCACGGTGTCACAGTGGCAGCCGGACTCACTGCATCACGACTCTGGCTTCTAAAGTTTCCTCTAGAAGTTTTATAGTTTTAGATTTTACATCTAAGCAATGCTCCCTTCCAAGCTAACTTTTGTTACAATGCAATGAATCAAAGTTCATTTTAGTTTGCATTTTTTGCATAAATGTTCACCAAGGACGTGGGTCTCCGGTTCTGTTTCTTGTTGTGTCTTTGTTTTCAACGTCGGGGTAATTCTGGCCTCACAGAACGAGCTGGGAAGTATTAGCTCCTTCTCAGTTTCCTAAACCTATTGTTATTTCCGCTTTAAATGCATGGGAGAACTCACCAGTGAAGCCATGCGGACTTGCAGCTTGCTTGTGGGACTATTTTAACTGTA